TTTTTTTTTTTTTTTTTTTTAAATAGAAAGTTTTACTTGCTTAAGGCTTAAGTCCAAAAGCAATTCCATAAAAAAATCTCAAGAAGCTTAATATACCAGGTGGCATTCTCTGGTAAGCAAAGAACATTACGGTAGAACTGTGTTTCTAGAATTAGTGGTTGAACATCATTAGTTGGAAACGGAAGTTATCCACGGCCCATTAGCTTTCCCAGGGGACAAGGCCTTGTGGGAGGGACTGGGGAGGAGCCCATGGATGAGTCAGAGGTGGTCCCACGCTCCAGATGGCCTCACGGAAATACAGGTATTCGACCAACTGTGCTAGAAGCAGGGAGTGGTACTTGCTTGTCCAGGAAAGGGTGTCAGGAGGCCGGGGTCGCTCAAACCATTGCAGATTCCTAAAAGAGGCCTGTTTTCAGGTCATGCCTGTGGCTGGTTCCCAGGAGCTAAGCTCTGAGCCTTCCACTCCTGGAGGCTCCCTTCTGTACCTCAGACAAGGGCCCTTCAAATGCCCATTCTTTGCCTCATGAGTGATGACGAGAACTGCTTGTACCCCTCCCCAAGAAGCCCCTCCTGAGGTCAGGCTGAGCTCAGGACACAACGGGCTGTCCCCCACTGTCCCATCACACCATGTCTGCTGGGTGGGCTCGTCCATCCCACCCTCCACACCTGGCCCCTTTCTCGCTTATTCTCACTATAAAAGACAACCCCTTTTTGCTTCACGTTGAGACACCTGGCAGGTCTCACGGCAGGAACACTCTCACTGGTACCATAACCGCTGTCCCCCTGGGGTTGCAACAACCCCGCTCTCCTTCTTACTGTAATCCTTGCAAATAAAATCTCTCCTTGGCCACCGCCCAGGGTTGGTTTTTATCCGACATTACCCTCTGGGTGACTGGCCAATTCTTTATGTGAGCACGCTTATGCCTTCTTATTATGATATAAAGTGCTCGGAAGTCTCCGGGCCTTATTTGCCCCAATCCTAATCATGTGTTTCCTGAATGCAAAGGGCACCAATCCATTTACCTCTAAGCCTGATAAGTTTACCTCTAGTTTGCTGGAGTCTAGGTCAGTTTACTCCCATGCCTTGTTTGTCCTGGGCTTCTTTCTGCTATCTGTCAGGCTTCCTGGAAAGGCCGCAGCCCCTGGACCTTGGGAAAGTGGGAGGGGGTGCCTGGTGTTCGAGTTCCTGCTGGGATTCCCTGGACTAGAGGTACAGGCTCCCCTTCCTCCACCCTGACACCTCCTAGAGCCTCAGACTCCGCCCCTTCAGTACACTGTTTATATCGCTGGCTCCCAACTAGTGGTGATGTCACCACCCAGGGGACACTGGGCAATGTTGGGAGACATCTTTGGTCGTCATGACGGGAAGAAGTGTCCACTGGCATCTAGTGGCTATCGACCAGGCATCCTATACCGCGTAGCACAGCCCCCTGCAACAAAGAAGTATTCAGCCCCGAATGTCAACAGTGCGAAGGTGGAGACATGCTGATTTATGTGATAATTGCTGACGCTAACAAATTTAGTCAAAGGACATTTTCTCATTCAAAAGTTGAAAATGGAACAGGAAAGCTTGTCCAAAGGATAATCTACCTTCATCCAATCACACGGGGGCCATTTTTTTCTAGGAGGCACCGAACGATTTTTGGACCGAAAAAAATGGTCAACCATTCGGCAACAAAAATTTATTGATTCGTTTGCAACATTAGGTACAACATGTATAACTTTATCACATGGTAACAATCCCGTATTTGTGCTTTGTAGGATAAGTAAACATTCATTCCGGCACAAAAAAGTCTACGCACAATATTCTGGGATGGTTTAAAAAATAAATCTATCCTTTTCCGTTCAGTAGCACAAAGAGCTTTCAGTCTGAGATAATGGATACATTTTACAATTTGACATTTTGTTAATGTGACGAGTCGAACACATATCTTAAATCGGGACTATTGATGTAACAAGTGCCTAATGAATTCTGGGGAGGATTCCGTGATGTGTGAAGAGGGAGGTACGGCTCCCAAGGAGGCTTTCTTGACATTTCAAGCTGTGGATGACATATAAGTCCAGCGCTGACGGCCTGGGGCCTTGTTCACATTTAAAATCACTTCACAAATTTTCAAAACAGAGTAAAAGCAAGATATTTAAGGAAATCTTTGATAAACACCTTCTCTGGTCAAGAAAATAAAAGCCGGTGTACCTCAGTTAGTTGAAGGGGAAGAGGATTTATTAAGGAGAAGTTAGATACGTCGGTTTTTCAAAAGAGTAAAGCTCTGTTTCTGAAAAACTTCAATGGGATAAGGTTTTCTTTTTTCCAAATTAAATGTCAATGTGTTTGAGTCAGGAAGAGTCTACGGTCCTAACGGGTTAGGTCAAATCCTGCGCCCGTCACCATATCATCCTGGGAGCAGGTCGGCCATACCAGTATCAATGCATTTATGATGAAACCACTGAACTCAAGTGTCAAGATACAACTTAAGACGACAATCCTCTCATGTTGTATGAACCTCTAAGCTAACTCATATATTATTTAAGGTAATCATCTCTTCATAATTTACAATAAAAATAAAAGGAATGCTTATATTTTATATAATTGAATACACAAGGAGATTTTATCTCAAAAGATTTTTTTTTTTTGATAGTAAAGTTTTCCCTTATGGTAAGAATTCTGTGATCATGTTACCCAAGTAATATAGAGACGGAAACGAGACAATTTTCAGTCTTTCTGTCTCTCAACTGAACACCAATAGCTTTCTGGTTAGTTGAGAATGCAGACACTATTGGGGGGATAGGAGATACTTACCAGTGAGCTGCTAGGAATCAATGAAATCACCTGGGCAGAGGACATCGCTAGGACTCCTGCATTTCTCTTAATATCCACTGATAATGGTCTGAAAGTGAAGATCTTTTATATCAAAATTCTGGAAATTTCTCACCCATATCTTAAGTGTTTACCTGGGCTGAGAGCCCCTTAATCAGCTCAAAAAAGTAAAATAAAAGTTACATCATAGTTTACAAAATTATTTTGACTAGTGACTTTGTTTCCAGTTGATTCACATAATTGGAGACATTACATGTCATTTTATATCATTAAAAATACTTAAGTACAGCTTTCCTGGAGTTTGGGCCGAGTTAAAAGCTTTTCGTTTGGGGTCCATTAAAATTTCTGCTTTTCCAGTGGTTCTAATACAAGCTTTTTTTGGACTCGCTCACAGGTTGCCTTGATTTGTACCGATCTGTGTTTTGCTTTTCCTCAGATTTATTCGATCTGCAGCAGACTTGAACAGCAGATTTTGTATAGCTCTGCTAATGTGATGGGATGTTTTGAGGAGGTTTAGAGCATTTCGAGCAAACCACTGTAATCTAAGCTGGGAAAAAGGGAAGGAATATTCTAAGGGCATTGCTGCCCTATCCCAGTCCCAAGAGCCAGTCAAAGAGACTCGGGGTCCCCTCCTTCTGCTCCTCATGCATTTTGCAGTACTGAACAACCGCGTGAAAGATGTCTCCCACTTTCCAAGACTTCTGCTGAACCAGCCGCACGACATCTAGAAACTAAAATAAAGCAGAGAATTAGGACTCATGTATCACAGATGAGCCTCAAAGTTATCTCATTCAACCCCTTTTCCAAAGCCAACAGCTCTCCGGGCTATTTTTTTAAATCTCTTGTGACAAGGGACTATTTTTCAGGACACTCTATTTTCTTTTTAGACAATTCTGATTGTTAGAGAGTTTTTTCAAGTGAACTGGATTTTTCTTCTTCACAGCAGCTGCCTTCCATTGATTGTGGGAAAATAAATGGGATTCTTCTTTCAAGAGTCTATCTTTTGGATATTTCAAGAGTTTCCCCAGGTCTGAGCTGGACTCTCTGTGACAGGACTGTATAGCATAGCTCCCAGGACCTTCTATCTGTCTTACAAATAATCTTTCATTGGATGCATACATTTAGGCCAAGTAAATCAAGTGCTGACCTTTTGGGTACAGTCACTTATTGGCTCCCCACTCTGTCTTGAATAGTCCTCTCCCCCAGCATCACATTTCAAGAGACATTGGTTTTCCATTGTAAAAGGAAAAGGAAAGATTGGGGCATCAGAGAAAAGGGGAGAAAGGCTAGGATGTCTTTGCACGATTTGATTAATCAGACTTTTCCAGCGCTTACTTTCCCAGCTCTTACTGGAAATCTAGAAAGTAGGAGTTACCAGTAGAGAAGGCTTGAACATCAAGTTTCTGCGATCTCACTGAGAGAGGCTCATAGGTTGGTGACTTCTTTTCAAGATTTCCATCAAGGGGTCACCAATGGCCTTAGGCTAGACCCATCCCTTGAGGGTGTCGCCTCTCCCTTAACATGTCTTATAAAGATGCAGCCAACATGAAATACACAGAAATATAAAATTAGCCTCAGTTCCTTCTTTTGCTTCCTGTAGACTCTGGCTCACTGGGCTACCATTTCATTCCCAACTTTTATCTCGGAGTCATTGCTCTAAGAGACAAAGCTCTGGAGCAGATGCCAGTATTTGCCAAGCCCTTCCCAGGAGGCTGTTGGCCCCAGACCTTTCTGGAAGCCCAATTACTAGATTCTTTCCATCTATTAAGGACTTGCTGAAGTAGGATCTGCCACTGTGGTGATGAGCACAGGATGATGCTGACCGATGCCCCACCAGCTAGCCACTCTGCCAGTAGTTTGTGGAATAGTCACAGGCTAGAATCTGTTTCATGGTTTCTAAATACAATCTGATATCTCAATAAATCAGCTTTAAAAATGGTCTGGCACGACTAAATATAGACTATTCTTGAGGCTGTGATGACTTAACCTCAGACATCAAGACCTTGAAACATCTGTGGGGCTGATGGACAAGAAGGTCTATACTCTTTTCTTCCTTCACTAAAAGGAATTTCTAAATAAAAATGCAGCTAAGATTGTGAAGAGGCCAGAAAAGGACATTCCCAGTTTGTTGCTATAGCCTTTTAAAACCACGTGCAGGGGGCGCCTGGGTGGCTCAGTCGGTTGGGCGTCTGACTTCAGCTCAGGTCCGTGAGTTCGAGCCCCGCATCAGGCTCTGTGCTGACAGCTCGGAGCCTGGAGCCTGCTTCGGATTCTGTGTCTCCCTCTCTCTCTGCCCCTCCCCGGCTCGCACTCTGTCTCTCTCAAAAATAAATAAACACTAAGTCCACATTCAGGTTAGCAGTTGGCCCTAGATCTTTCATTGTTCCTGTCCATGTTATTGCTTTGGTAATTTTAGAATCAGCTTTAGGGTGTCCTGGAGCTGAGTTTTTCATTCCAATGCAGTGAAAAACAAAAATCAAACATTTTCACTTCCTGCCACTTCACAGTCCATAACAATCAGGTTCCCTTCCTACATATCACAGTGGGCATTTCCTTGAGCAAATATTTTGTCTTAGGAAACTAAAATGGCTTATATCCTGTGATGGTGTCATTGACAGACTCACTTGAAGAGGGGTATTACGTAGAGGGCTTTTTATTCTCAGGTGCATTTGCTAAATTAGATCAATGGTTTACAAAATTATATGGTAGAGTCTATGGGAGTTGTTGAGAACTGTGAGATTTAAAAAAAAAAAAAAAAACAGTCAACTTAGATTTCTGAAAGCAACTACCTTCTCTTGCTCCAAGGCAGAATTCCATTTTATGAAGTACAAGTGAGTTCGTTTCTATAACCACTCCTGCAATTACGGCCTGTAGAGTCGTGATTATCAGCCTTGTCTGTGGCCTAGAACCACCAGGGACCTTTAGAAAATTCCAATGTCTGAGCTTCATCCCAAGAGGAGATTCTGATTTAATTGGCCAGAGCAACTGGGTCTATAAATCTCCCCAGGTAATTCTAGTGCACACTAAGTTAGAGAACCATGACGAAAGTATTCAGTTCAAGCCGATTTCTTATGTTTATAAGTGAAGAAACTTAGTATCTATTATGCATTAATGTTGGCATTCTCCACCAAATTCATATATTGAAGTCCCAAACCCAAAAGTGATGGTATTGGGAGGCAGGGCCTTTGGGTGACAATGAAGTTTAGATGAGGTCATGAGGACAGGACTCCTATGGTAAGACTTATTCTCCTATAAGAAAGGGAAAAGAGACACCAGAGCTCATTCTCTACCATATGAGAACATAGGAAGGGAGAGGGCTGTCACCAGGAATGGAATCTGCTGGTACCTTGATGTTGCAATTCCCAGCCTCCAGAACTGTGAGCAGTACATTTTTGGTTTAAGCCACTCAGTCTATGGCATTTTGTTCAGGTAGTCTGAGCTGACTAAAACAGTAAAATCTTCCCTATTTTTCCTTCCTTTTTCTCTCTTACTGCTGTTCTACCAGTTTGCAAGTAGAATGGAATGACCTAGAGGTAAGGTCACTTCTCTTATGACCCTCACTTTCTTAGGAAGGCATGCATATACTTTCCTCTGTGTTTGTTTGTTTGTTTGTTTGTTTGTTTTTGCATCACCTCCAAGAAAAAGAAGTAATTCTCAAATGCATAAAAATGAGAAAGGCACTGATTTACAGTGAGGCCAGGCATCAGGCCACTCTAGCTCACAGGAGCTCGTTGGATTTAGAAAAGGAGCTAGAGAGCAATGATATTTTGGATCCAGAAGGAAAAATAATTGGCCAGTTTATGTCATTTGTTAAAAAAAAACAATTGCTGTCATGATTTTTTTTTACATCTTAAATTAAGTAGATTACATTTAACTGATGTCAGTCATTGCGAATTACATTTACAAAGTGTTTTAGATCTTTAGGCATTAGGATTCTCAGCAAATTTGCCCTGGAATTTAAGATAGTTAAAGTCCAACTCAAATTCTGTCACTCTTTCGGGCTATTTCTTATGGGAGGGGGTCTTGAACTTTGATACTCATCAAAATGGCTTCACTTGAGGGAAGTTGTTAAAAATGTATACTTCTGGGCCCCATGGAAAGCGATCAGGGCTAAGAAACGACCTAAGAAGATGAATTGTAAGCAAGTGTCCCAGATAGTTCTGTGCACTTGGCTCATAGATTTCTCTTTATAACCTGAGTCTCCCCTGGATGACACTCACCCTACTCTGGGTCCCTCCTGAACTAGAATGGAAATTCCATGAGGGTAGGGAATTTTGTGTCCTTTGTTCCTCATATTCCCAGAGCCAAGAACAGTGCCTGGTATGTTGTACATGCTCAATGAACAGTTGATGAATGTTCCGAGTGCACAACTTTCAAGTGAACATGGCATTTTAATGAGTAGGGAAAATGCCATGAAAGAGAAAGCTTGAAATGAAAGTGTCACTTTTCAGAAAGGAGTGACACTACACTGGTCACCAAAAATGCTTGGCATTTGCCTTTTGAGTTGAAACGAGGCTGAAATTCATTATAAGCTGACTTTAAGTGCCCCTTGATTCCAAGGTCAATGGTGGGAAACATGAGCTGCTTCGGTATTCACTCATGATATCGTCTCCCCTTTAGTTTATGCCCTTTAGCTTCAGGCTGGGGCACTGAGTGGGAAACACACAAGTGGGAAAATTGTTAACTAAATTCATTTTTTTTAAAAAAAAATCAGAATTCACACAAATGGTGGCTTGAAGGGTAGAACTGTGAATGATATCTAACACTCTAGCGATGGTGGGAAAAATGACATTTCTGAACTTAACAGAGATGTTTCTTTAACCCTTTCCAAGCTGAGGAGGAGCAGTGCTACCCTTGTGTGACACGGCCCCATGGGAGGCCACAATCTCTCTTCTGCACTACTGGAAACTAGCTACTTCACCAATGAAAAAAACAGTCAGAATCAGCACTTGAGTGTTCAAGTGCAGCACTGATAAAAGCAAGGATATAAAATTTTTGTGTAAGGGTTTGCTTTATTTAACCAGTTTGGTCTCAAACAACAAACAGTGCCCATTTATGGAGAAGCCACTCTGCAGAGAACCTTAACTGACTCTGAAAGAAATGAGAATATTTAGTTCCTAAAATTACAATCCTTAGAAATAAGCTCCTTGATCTGATGCTAAATTGCATGGGTAAAACATTACTTAATGTTTTTCTTGATAACACTCGTGGAGTGTTTATTTTCTCAGAAAAATAGCTATGACCAAAGACAGGCATCCCCTCTGAGAATTGAAAATTGGTGAGGATAAAGAAATGTCAAGTCAGGGCCTGATTTACATAATCAAGTTACTAATCAAGTTAGTGATACACCCTTTGTCCTTTCACCTAATGGGGATTTATGAGGCACGTATTCACATAGAGTCCTGTGTTATTTCTTCAAAATGGGGGATTGGATAAAAAGCTACTTTCTTAGGAGACCATCTGAAAATGGACCTAGCAATGCTCTGGAGATGAAGTTGGGAACCAGCCAGTCCTTCATTTTTCCAGGAATTTGAGGACGTCATTTGCCTGAGGAAGTTCTTGTTCCCCTCCCCATGGTAGGGAGTCTTTGGGATGGTGTACAGAAAGAGGGAGGGGTCCAATGAGGGGGGTTCTTTTGCCCCACTCTTTGCACCGTGCAGGCTAAAAGGTAAGATGGAAGGAGACCCTATTAAGTAGTGAACTACTCATCACCTTGCCAACAGAGGTATGACAAAATTCAGACGGCACAGAATGGTCGGAAGTCCTGGACATGAAGAAAAATATAAATTACTGGCTGGAGAGAGAGGCTGATGTGGGAGGGGCCAGTATAAATTAGGTCTCTGCAGTTTTTCCAGTGGCCAATCCCATTGGCTGGTGATACAGAAATGGGGAAGGTGTTCTAATTTCCATGTACATGGGCAAGATGATCAAGGATCTTTCATTTCAAGCTGCTAGATTCTGACAGTGAGAATTAAAATGCAATTACACATTAAAGAGAAAATCCAGATTGTAACTCCAAGATCATTTAGCTTGAGAGAGACACACTATTGAGAGGTTTCCAGGACTAGGCTGAGCCACCTTTACCATCCTTTCTCATGGGCCAGCCTCTCTGAATCCTGACTTGTCCATTAAAAAGCGACAGTAATAGCCATTTGGCTCTTCTCCCAGGGTTGTTGAGAAACAAGCTTAATGAATACGTGGAGGTACTTTGGGACAATAAGACATTCAAAAATGCACTGTGGCAGTGATAAGCAGGATCGTAAAACGGCTCCCAAGATTTCTGCCCTAATCCTCAGTACGTAGGATGAGATAATTACGCCCTTATTATGTTATTGTACATGGCAAAAGAGATTCTTTAGTTGATTTTGAGTTAATCAAAAGGGAGACTATCGGGTGAACCTAACCTACTTGCACAAGCCCTTTCAAAGCAGAGAGTTTTCTCTGGTGGCAGAAGTAAGGGACTGACTGTATGAGAACACGAAGGGGTCCACATGACAAGGAATGCCACAGCTTCTAGAGGTGGTCCCGCAAAGAAACAGGGTGTCAGTCCCACGGCCACGAGGACCTGAATTAGGACAACAACCTGAAAACCCTTGGAAGCTTGTTTTTCCCCACAGTGTTCAGGCAAGCGCTCAATCAGGCTGCCATCTTGCTTTCTGCCTTGCAAGTCCCTAAGCACAGAGCCGAGTAGAATTTACCCAAACTTCCGGCAACAGGGCTGGGAATCATTGTTCTAAGCTAGTAAATTTGTGGCAGTTGATGACACAGCACTAGAAAACGAATAGAGCAACATTATTATTAATGTGAACATTTGCAGAAGGGGCGTACTTTTAAACTGCGGGCAAATCGAGCTTGAAGACATTGGCAGATGAATTTGTGCGTCAATCTTAATCATTGAGATTCTACCACGGTTAGTGGGCAGTCTCAAAGATAGGGAGTTAGAGTGACAGTTGCTATTAATGTTGAGGTTGGCAAAGGGTCTATTCCCTGACTTTATACTGCTGGTAGGTGGAGAATGATCACGAGAAAGCCTGTCTAATGCAAACCTGTTCAGTAGGGACTTAAACATGCTTCTTCTTGACATCATGCCACAGTCTGTTTTAAATATCAATGTGGCCTCACTTTAGTTTCTTATATATATCAGGTCTTTCCCTTGTACCCTTTATTTAAATGAGTGTTATGAGGAGGTTGGTTCCAGAGCAAGGAACCATCAAAACAGAGCAAACAAACCAAGGAACAATCAAAAAGCCAGAGTCTGGAAGAGTTCCCAGCTCCTCAATTCACTTTCTCACTGCCACCAACGAGCCGAGACAAACTGAGGGTCAAAGAAACAGTTATTGTGATTTTAAGCAGGTGGAAGCTTTCAAAGTTCTAGCCACAATTTTAAGGTGAAAAGTCAAGAGCAAATCATTCAAAATTTAAGTGAGTTGACTGGGAAGTTACTGAGTTTCCAGCAGTGACAAAGCCACGAAGCTTTTTTCACATCCAAACACACGACATGGTACCTTTTCGATTCTGTTTTCCTGAGATTTCTTAAAGTAGATGGTGGGGATCCCAAGTTCAGAGGCTGCTATCCACTGCAGAGTGGCTCGAAGCTCAGTGTCAGGGCACTCTGGCTCCAGGTCAAAGTTGATCACCAGCAGGCTCCCCTGGGGACTGGCCGCTCCCACCTGCACTCCAGAGGCGCCTTCTGAACACAGACAAAACCTCAGTCTTATGATGCTTTCCACGGGGAGATCACAGGCAAATTGTGTGTCAAAATTATGGGAATGTGGCTTACCCTCTACGTTTTCTGACTGTCCTTTAAGAGTCTCCTTTTCTTCTACTAATTCACTTTGGGAGAAAACAACAGTATATGGTTGGTAATGTTTAGAAAGGGTAAGCTGCAAATGGATGATGAGGCAATGGGTCGTATTGATCTACAAGCTTCTGAAATTCGTTCTAGATCCATTGTTTTCGTAGAGTGGAGTAATACTGGGGAAATATCAATGTGGCTCTTATGTAGGATTATTGGGTCTGCAATCAATACCCTGGCCCTAAAAAAGAGGCCAGATTAAATGCATAGTTTTAGTGGGGATAATTGGTGGGGGAGACCGGAAGAAATGCATCCATCTATTCTCCTCAACTTCCCTTCCACAAACCTTCACCAGTTTGAACAGTCAAGGAAATATCTTGTAGGCCACTAGATCTGATTTGGGGATGTATCCTTCTTCTGTATTTGACTTTAAAGGTCCCTATTATTTAAAGTCCCTGTTTAAATAAAGGTCCCTGTTATTTAAAGGTCCCTATATTTCCATCCTGATACGATGATTTTTTTCCTAAACTATGGTAGCAACAAATCTGCATTTTAGTCTGAAATAAGGGATAAAACAACCAATGGGCTGCAAAATTGAGTTGTACAATGAAATATCTTAATTAAAATTGAAAATTTTCTTTTTCTTTCTAGCAGAAGGATGAAGGAGGCTGGAGGTGATAAAGAACTAGAGATAAAACCAAAGTATTTCATTAAAGTCATGGTCAATGTTTGAGGTGTTTTCATACAGCAAGTACTTGTTAGGAAGCCTTGATATAATGGTAGGATTCAGTAAGTGCTTCCAAAAGGAGAGCATATAGCTCAACAGTTGAAAGGAGGTGGCCATCTTGCAAAGACTGTGGTTGTCTTATATTTTTGTACAGTCTAGCAATTAGACTATAGCAGCTCCTAAAAATGTGTGTTTTTATGAGAGAGTATTCTCCCTTATATTTTCTATTCATGCTAAGATTTGCTGGCTATAAATTCCACTGTATTCCTGATGTTGAGAGAGAGTTTGGTTGTTCTGCCATGCTTACAGAATTACTTCTAGAAGCACGGCCAATTTCCCAAGGGTCTAGATTCTCTTCTACGTCTCTGCAAGTGATCTAAGTGAAATGGCGTATGGTAAGACAGTTTCTGCTATCGTGGAGCGGCCAGACATGGATATGGGTGGTGGTTATTTTGGTTTTCCCTGAGTGCATATAATCTGCGGGGTCCTAGGCTCAAACCCTAGGGAAAGATGGAAAAGGGTAGCTAAACAAATGCTTCCTGAAAGAGAAAAAATAAATTTAACCCAAAGTGATTTTTTGTTTGTTTGTTTTTATTTGGGTCCTACCTTAAAAAAACAAAGCAAACCCAAGCTAACGTGTATGTTCATCTCTACTTGTGACTAATGGCTCTATGGAACAAAGGGTGCACGGCGGCCGTCAATCGCTGAAGCATACTCCCACAGGCCCGACACCTGATTACATAGTGAAGCAAAAATGATTTAGCTATAGAGAGCAACTGAGAAAGGAGATCAGGGAGCACTGTTAGTCTTGTAGTTCATTTTTATTTTTCTCAGATTTCAGAAAACTCCAAATAGTAAGCTAAGTCATAATGGTCAAAAATAGATTTCAATTCATTTACTTTTCCAGAATAATCACAAATTCTGGATGCAGTCCTGACCTCGCATTGTCCTCCTTTTCGGCACTGTAATTTACGTTACACATGTGCTTCTCTAAGTGCTATTTTCCCTTGGTCTTTTAGACCTTTTAGAAGGGTCCCAAGGTCGTGGGGAGCAGAGTCACTGCAGGGCAATGACCTGTCTCCATTGTAGCACCTCTTGGTATTAGACCCATTTAGTAGTTATTATCCCAGGTTTCCACGAGTAAAGGAAAAGCCGTTCATGTTACATTCTATTGAACAATAGTCTCTGTTGGTTGGCATGGTATGATCTAAAAGGATTTCTGCTTCTCTCTGTCCAATTAAGTAAAATGACATCTCTTTCTGATTGTACAGATAAGCTTTTTGTGAAATGATTTTATCAGAGGGGGCAGATTTGAAATCCAGAAGACAGTGGTAGGGTAGGGTAGGACCCGTGGTGGCCCTACCAGTGGTGGTAGGGTAGGACTATTCTAGGCCCTAGTTCTTGCTCCAGTGACATGGAACCACAGCAGCGTGGACATGATGATTCAGTGGTTGGGCACGATCTCAATGACCAAAATGGATTGCCAGATGGAGTTAGGGTAGCGGTGTCACAATCACTGCATCTCGGTGGCTACTTACTTAATCATGGGAGAAGATGGCATGCTTTCCTGATAAATGTCCAGGTCCACAGTGCCAAGACTGTTAGTGGCACTACTGTTGCCATTGCTGACAAAGCAAAAGTTTACATATTAATGCCTGTCTCCACCACCTGGCCACACGGCCGACACTGATGTTCTGCCATTTTTTTCTAAGAGGTCCTTCTTTGGTCCCCGGGAGAATATTGTTGGGGGACCCCTACATTAAGATTTTTTTCTGGACAGATTAGGGGGAAACGGCACAAAAGACGTTTTTGGCCCAAGCCAATCATCATCATCGTCATCATCGTCATTTTCGAATTTCTGTAGTGGTGTCACGCCTGATGGGCTACACCTAGTGGGTGACAATCTCCAGACTTTTATTTTCCTCATTCTAGGTATAGTGAGGATGTTTATCTGGCAGCAAGAGACTCCTCGGTGTTCCCATGGAGACCAAGATACTTCTGAGAATGCTGGCTGGGGAAGGTACCAGAATGTTCATCTGCCTGCTTGTTGACTTCTGACAGAAACCAGGGGACACGCGTTCTCCCTTTGCCTGTCACGGGATTTTTCTGAGGGGCGTTCCACAGAATATGCGCCTGGATCATTGTTTAACTATGGCACTGCAGAACTTACAAATGTGAAATTGGGCAATGCCAAAGTTTAATCAGCTCCTTTGTTGTAAAATCGTTGGGAAGCAATACCTGATACCTTATGTATCGAGGAGTAGGAGGGCTGATGTATCATTTTCATGGGTTACACAATCAACATATGGTCTAGTTACTAGCTTGGAATTTATTTGCTGAAACACAGTTGACTTGAGCCAATTTTTTTTAGGCTGTGTCTGTACTTGCAAAATGGAATGCATCCAATTTTAGCAAGCTCACCGAGTTTCCTCATACTCCCACTATTTCCCAGTGACATCTCTTCCAAGTCAGGTTTTCAAAGGGTGAGTGCTGGTGTGTCATATGATGGGGCAGCCTTCCCTCGGGAGGACCGTGACTAACACACTAGACTCCTCCAGTTTCAAATTCCGGCTTTGGGTTTCGTGTGGGGCATCAGATATATTCACTGATGGAAATCTGATGACTCAAACACGTCGCTCAAGGTAATTAACCCTGTAAACTTCTGCTAAGAGCAGACGTTGAAATTCTCTTTCCTCTCTATCTCTGTATTGTAATATTTCCCGCCAGTTTGGGGGGATTTTAGACAAAGTGTGTGACAATGTTAAGATTTCCTGGGTCTAAGCAGACCGAACTTCCAGAAATAAGACTGCCAAGGAGCCATTACACCCAGATGCATCTGAGTCCCATTTGCCCGTTGGCCTTTCTGGAAAGTCTGTGGAACTGGGCCAGTATCAAATAAGACTTAGGGCAGAAATGTGGAGATTCTTTCCGTTTCTACCTCACGGAGGGATAGTGTTCGGTTTATGTCTCTTGATGGGCTTGGGTCTTTCCAAATCTGATCTTTCATGAACTCCTCTCTTGCTTACCCAGAACAACAATATAGAGGTCAGGGGAGAGAAAGGGAGAGAAACAATTAGGCCAAACAACACAACACAATGTGGAAACACTTGCCTCATGTAAACCCAGTCTGGGTTGCATCTGAGATACAAATGAACCAGAGAGAAAGTATCAAACACACCAGGTGTAACAGCAGCCCTTATTTAAAAATTCTCAGTCGTTATCATTGACTGCACTAGCTGGGACTTGGCAGAGAGAGAAACACAGCTGACTCTTAACCTTGGCCAAGGTAATTAAAGGCACAACTGGATATTATGAAACCTCTTGGCCCAAAACATGACAGGCAGGCACCTTGATCTAGCGGGGAGCTTTCTCTCTTGCCCTGTTAGGGACCCTTTGCAGAGAACCACTTAGGAAGCATTTCCAGTATCTGTGTTGAGACCTGTTTCCCTGGGAAGTCAAGTCAAGAGCAGGTACCTCATGGATCGCTCGCTGAGCTGAAGAAAGCTACTGGTATCATGTGGATTGTCCTCCTCGTTGGTGAGCTGGGACCAGCTGTCCGTGCTCTCCCCACTGCTGCTGGGAAGGTTGGGAAACTCATCGGGGGCTCTGCCTTCTGCGGACACCTCCGCCTCTGCTACATCAAGGCCGGCACTGTAGATGGCAAGGCATCATTACCAAGAGCGGAGGCACAAGACAGAGCTTTTCACGAAGACCTTGCTGACTGCTCAGCGGGCGCGAGTCTCTGCCACAGTGAGGAAGATACCGTTGCAGACAAGCGCAGTCTTTCTTTTAGGCTGACCCTTCTCCTAGCACTCTCCGTCCCATTTTGCCTTTTCGAGATTACTCCCTTCAGTTGTCCCATCTCTTTATTTCATCTCCTTCTACTGACTCCCTCCAATCATTTCAAAAGCACGTCGAAACCCCCCGGGGCTACCTACAGAAGAATAAAGGAGGGACGGTAGCATCTAAAATGGAGATACCCAGAGCGCCGTCTCCCAGAGATTATGATCCAATGGTTCTGCCAGGAGAGCAAGAAACCTGCATTTTAAACAACCACTGCAGGTGATTTTAATGCAAGTGGCAAGTGGAGCATGCTGGGAGAAAAACACCCACCCGGTTCTGGAGGTTTACCAAGTCGGTTTGTCTCTAAATGCCTCTGAACACATTTTGCATTTGTAGCTTACCTTTCTTTCCCCTCTTTTTTTTTTTAAAGCTTTTATTATTTTTTTTTAAATATGAAATTTATTGTCAGATGAGGAGGGCACCTGTTGGGATGAGCACTGGGTGTTGCGGCTTCCCTTTCTGTACCATCCTCTCCCTTTGAAACCTCTGATGGGTATCAGTATTGCCTTTCTGGGTGCTTTTTTAGGTCAGGTAGCTCTCTAAAGCCTTTAACCCCTGATCTGACAGGCTTTTCTCCTCACAGCCTTTCCTCCCCGGCCTCCCATGACTTTCTGCCTCTCTGGTCACACCTTGCCCGGAGCCTGGTTCCCTGGGTTTCCTTTCAGTGCCACCATCACTGATGGATTCACTGCCCTCCTTTCCAGTCTGTCCTGAACAATTTCCTCTACTCTCTCTCCTGCCTCTGAAAATAGCTTCTGAACTTGAACTCCGGCCAGGGCCCCTCTTCCTGCTTCTGGGGGCTCTTTTTTTTCAGCTGGTCTCCTGGAAACATCCAATCTGTCTCATTAATATTTTGAAATCAACATATCTAAAACAAATGCTAATTGCCCTCCTATCCCCTTCCCATGTGCTTCAATTTCCATTGATCTTGCCTTCTCTATGCTCATGAAATTATCTTAGTTTAGGTCGTTCCGAATTGTTAGAATTTAGATTTGGAAGGAACCTCATAGATTTGCTGTAGATTGGGATGCAAAAGCCCAGTGAGGTTAAATGACTTGTCCAAGGTTGCAAAAAGAATGGGTGCCATGGGCGCCTGGGTGGCGCAGTCGGTTAAGCGTCCGACTTCAGCCAGGTCACGATCTCGCGGTCCGGGAGTTCGAGCCCCGCGTCGGGCTCTGGGCTGATGGCTCAGAGCCTGGAGCCTGTTTCCGATTCTGTGTCTCCCTCTCTCTCTGCCCCTCCCCCGTTCATGCTCTGTCTCTCTCTGTCCAAAAATAAATAAAAAAAAAAACGTTGAAAAAAAAATTAAAAAAAAAAAAAGAATGGGTGCCAGACATTAGACCTCACGTTTTGAGACTCGTGGGCTTTGTTCCGTTCCTCCTCGTCCGCACTGTATCATACTAGCTTCCTAACAATTGAGCCCCAACCATTTCTCTCCACTTTCAACCATACGATCCAGCAATTCCCCGTTTAAGAATTTATCCCCCCAAACCGAAAACACTAATTTGAAAAGACCAGTGCGCCCCTATGTTTATCGTAGCACTACTTACAATAGCCAAGATATGAAAACAACATAAATGTCCAGCAAGAGATGAATAAAGAATATGTAGTAAATATATACAATGGAATATTACTTGGTCATAAAAAGAACAAAATCTTGCCATTTGTGATAACATGGATGGAACTAGATGGTATTATGTTGAGTGAAATAAGTCCGAGAAAGACAAATATTATATGACTTTACTTTTATGTGGAATCTAAAAACAAAACAATGCTGGAGAATCATGTAGTGAGGCTTGCAACACAGGAGGGAAACCTCGAAATTATGAAGCTTGGAGTTCATATAGGAATTGCTGTTGACACATTTGCCCCTCCTCTTCACCAGGGAGAGGTGAAACAGAAAGAGCGAGAGGGAGAGAGGGAGGGAGAAAGAGAAGGAGAGAGAGAGAGAGAGAGACAAAGACAGAGAGAGGGAGAGAGAGAGATCCCTTATAAACAAATCCAAACGTTCTCTGCAGAGAGGACGAAATGGTCTCTACTTCACCACCCTGGATTGTAAACAAATAGCTCCAGAAATATAAATCTCTGCATCTCTCTAGAAGTCTCTGTCTTTAGGGCTACCATCCAATCGTTCTTTGATTGCCAGTGCTCTTTGCTCAGAAAGCCAAATGTACAGGATTGTGAACATGCTCCTGGAACCCTTCTCCTGACACTACATACAGAGTCGTCAAAACCTAATAGCACAGGAGACAAGGACACCAACAGACTGCAGGCAAAAAGCAAGAGTGTATCTCTCAGGTGATAAGGAAGAATACAGCTGGTGTCATGGATATGGAATGCTTTTCTAGGCCATTGCACGCTGACTGTAGACAATACTGGCTGTTGCCAGCACACTGGGAATTACCATGGGGCGGACAATTACCTTGCCAAGGTTGTACCCTCCCTCAGCGAACATCCAAACAACCAGCTGATACAATGACACAAAAGGCCTCTCGTTGTCTCCCCTGGCACCAAAGAGACGGATCCTTCCACCTGCGGCATTTCCCGCAGGATGTGCTGAAGCGTCCGTTGCAAACACATTTGGGGGCATCTTCTCTCTGTACAATCTTACCTTTCCTACCTCCCTACAGATGTATGCACACCTATCTCTGGAGGGCACTCCCTAACAGATTATCTGCCTGAAACTCCCCCTCTTAAGGTCTGTTCCCAGGAGATGCAACCCAAGACACTTCATCTCTTTCATTCAGAACAGTATCCTGGGCTGCAGAAAAGCCTATGTAGTTCTCTTCAATCTCGGGATTCGTACCATTATCCTTTCTCCAAAAATGGATGCATTTTAATTTCTTAAAAAAGAGTTCTGATGTAGAGAGTAGGACTTCAAATATATAAATTCTGGGGTTTAATTAAAAATCTCCTTAGTTGATATATGAACTTGTGACCTAGAAAATGTCACAAAAGCTCTGGATCCTTGCCTCTAAGATTCCTCCCCACGGCATTCTGGATAGGTACAGCCTTAAGGTGTGGCTCTTTCTCACATGCTGTGCTACTAACAGTTGCTGCAAAAAGGTTTTCCTTTCTAACATGTCGAGATTTTTCCAAACTGAACAGGGAGAAAGTGAGACAGTGGCTGCACCCAAAAAACATTTGATGAATTTAATTAAATTCAAATGAAAGAAAAGTGTATTGAAGCTAACTATTCCCCCAAAAGGGGGGTAAATAAGCCAAGTACTGAGCACAAAGGAGACGCTTCTAAAACCATCTGTTTGCTCATTTAACATGAAACTTCCGAGACTAACTGTTTACTAAGTTAGGACCTTGCATTATTAGACGAATTCATTCCAGGATATTTCTTACTAAAGCAGAAGCTAAATCTCAGTGATTGACATTGAACATTCCAGGTTAAAAATGAGTCTGTCAGCATATTTTATTTTATCTAATTTCATGCTCTATTTACAGTAAATCTTATATTCTGTGTCACATAACTGGGAAGTCGAAATGAATAATGATTATCTAAAACACCGGTTTTCATTTTCTTTCGAGAGGAATATACAGCTTTGCTCATTTATTTGTGAATAATGCACAGATGTGTTATGCAGATGTATGTATATGGCCTTTCCCCCACTTCTGATTTTATATTCACACATAGAGCTTTAGAGGACCGGTTGTAATATGCTATCAAATTCAACTGTAGAATTTCTGAGTTAGCAAGGACCTCAGAAATCATCGAGCCGAATGTTCCTCCACCTTAATTTACTAGTGAACTACTGTCATACCTGATTGTACTGTCGTGCACGATTTTTGCCACGCCTGCATTCCCTCCTGTATTATATTAATAATAAAAATTGTAAGCAACCAGTTTATGTAATCTAAAATGTTTATTTTAAACCTAAATGTTTATTTTAAAAAGAAATTTTGAGGGGCGCCTGGGTGGCGCAGTCGGTTAAGCGTCCGACTTCAGCCAGGTCACGATCTCGCGGTCCGGGAGTTCGAGCCCCGCGTCGGGCTCTGGGCTGATGGCTCAGAGCCAGGAGCCTGTTTCCGATTCTGTGTCTCCCTCTGTCTCTGCCCCTCCCCCGTTCATGCTCTGTCTCTCTCTGTCCCAAAAATAAACGTTGAAAAAAAAATTAAAAAAAAAAAAAAAGAAATTTTGAGTCATCACTGTAAATAGAAAATAGAAATCACTTGCCATAGGTAGAAGGTAACAATAAACATGGAACTACATTTACAAGCTCTCTTTCCAATGGGTCATGTCATTATTTAGTTATAAAAAGTTCACTGAAGGGGGAAATCATGACAATCAAGCATCTACATTTTAAATATTTCATTTTAACTTTAAAGCATAAAAATGTCCTTAGTCACCAATCTTTAAACCAATGGATAATTTAGAAGTGTGTTGATAATTTCCAAATATTTGGGGGGGATTTCCTAGATTTATTTTTTTGTTATTGATTTTATTTAATTTCACTGTGATCACAGAACATACCCTGTAATATTCAAAACAGTATACTGACTGCAGAAAAGTCTATGTAGTTCTTCCATTTTAAAAAAATTTATTAAGACTTTAAAATTTTTTTTTAACATTTATTTATTTTTGAGAGACAGAGAGAGACAAAGCACGAGCGGCGGAAGGACAGAGAGAGAGGGAGACAGAGAATCTGAAGCAGGTTCCAGGCTCTGAGCTGTCAGCACAGTCCCTGATACGAGGCTTGAACTCATGAACTATGAGATCATGACCTGAGCCGAAGTCGGACACCTAACCGACAGAGCCACTCAGGTGTCCCTAGGAGTTATTTTATGGCTTCGTGGTC